TTTACTATGCAGCGTGTCGTGTGGTGTATATGGTTGGTCCTCAACCTGCAGCCACAACGGTGCCGGTCCTTGCGTGGGCCTCGTGAGACTTTGAGGGGCTGGTGGCCGCGCCGGCCTTGTTCGAGTCCGTCGAGGAGGAAGCTTTGAGAGAGTGCTTCCTGCTCTGCTCCGTCCCCTCGTCCATCTCGATCTGCACCAGCCGGCATTCCTCGCTGCAGAACGGCGTGTCCCCTCTGCATGCGACCCCCGCGACATCAGTACCCATCAGTGGATAGAAAGAAGACGAAGAAGAAGCTAATTACCTGTACATGAAGATGTCGCGGTTGCCGGCGAGGGGCTTGCGGCAGAGGAAGCACGAGTCCAAGAAGTGGTGCGGTGGGCCGTCGACGTCGACACAAAAGAACCTGTACGTGGGCGTCCGAGGCCTCGCCACTCCTCCGGCAGAACCGTTGGGGGAGGGCGGCGTCGGGTGGGCGTAGGGAGGACCCCATCCGGCCTCCAGATCAGAAGAAGAAGAATACAAGATGGAAAAGGGCTCCATGCGGATGAGAACTGAGGAGGAGGAGACCTCTCTTTCGTTTCTTCTTTCCGTGCTTGTCGTCGTAATTGGGTGCGTTCCTCGCTTTGTATTCTCGATGGACGGTGGAAGCAGGGAGTGGCGTGGAGAGGTCGGGGGTGGCGTCAGAGGTTATTATAGAGAGAGAGAGAGAGAGAGAGAGAGAGAGAGAGGAGGAGGAGGAAAGGCAATACAAATGCCAATAATAGTTGTGATTGAGAGAGAGTCAATCTTTAAGCTAATTGAGTTAGTTTTTCGACATATTGGCTTTTATTTTTGCTTTTAACGTTATAAATATAAAAAAACTGATGCTCTAAACGCCAACACTTTCTTTAAGATTCGGACCTACAATGCCGCAATAATTGCAGGTAGCCAAGATTAATAGATGCATGAGTGGAGCGACGACAGATCGGGAGGCACCAATCAATGATTTGCTCCCTTTCATCATGATGCGTCTTTGTTAATCTCAAAGCCCTTTTTTCTTTTTCCAATATATATATATATATATATAATTGAATTCTCAGATGGGGCTCACGAGATTGATTGCGGGGATAGGTGTGGCTGGGGACCACCCACAATGGCATGTGACACGGGCGCCCGCACGAAACACGATGAGCTGTTCGCGTCGTTAATTATTTGGTCGATCGATTAGCTGACTATTAGAGATTGGAAGGCTTGGGCCCCACCCCGGCCCCACTCGTTCGAGGCCAGGACGCACGTAAGCAAGACCGACCGACCAAGCCCCTCCCTGTTTCGGGACGGGTGGGCCCACCTTAAGTTAATATAAAGAGAGAATTCTCGAGAAAAGTTTTTTTTTGTTTTTCTGAAAAGTAACTCCCATTTTTAGATTATTTTAATTGTGTACCTTTTTTTTTCCGCATACCCTCAGTCATCTATTTTATTTCTCTTTATGAATTTTTTTTATATTATATTATAATATTTTTAATAATATTAGGAAAATATTATAAAATGAGGAAAGTAAGAGAAAAGAAAGTTGTGGTGAGAAGCCAAATCGAAGACGCACAAGTGGCATTGTAGCCATGGCGGATACGACCTCCTCAACAGCTGACTCACGCGTGCAAGAGCAGGTTTGCACGCGTGTGTCCCCTCGACCGCAGACACACATACCATCTCTCTCTCCTTTTTCGTCTTCCTTGTGAGATACACTCACTGCACTTGTTAACCTAATACTGTGAAAAAGGAAGGGAGACATGGTTGGCCATGGCGCTGCAGACAGTGGGTCGCTTGGTCCAGAAGAATCAAATGCGAAGAGTTTAATGGCTCGAGTGGGGGAGAGCACATGGAGTTTGCTTCGACAGCAAGTGATCCTTGGCGACAATTAATTTCCTGCACATATCACTACTGTTCCTGAGATGGCTCACCTGTGCACGCAGTACTGTACTATTGCTCAGGACCGAGGAGGAGGACGGTCACAAGCTGTGTGGCATCCAAGTGCGTTTTCTGTGGACAGGACAATGATCCGTGGAGTTTCCATCGCACGAAGGTCCCAAACTTGGGTGCAGGTTCACCGGTCCATTTCGGATGACATGGTTACAGCTCACGGATGACGAGCTTTGTCCACACACAGTGTAAATGCCATGATGTGGTCTTTGAAATGGCTGTCTAGAGAAGAACAGACCTGAAATGGAGTTGATGAAGGTATATGATTTTTCTTTGAACGAAGGAACCATGTCAAGGAGTTGTTCTTGTCATCTAAACTAATCATTTTCCTCTGAAGCATGTTGTGATGTTTGAATCTGTATGGTGGAGCACAATCACTTTCTATTTCTCCTGTACATTCTCCTTTCTTTCATATCATACATATCATGTCAATTTCTGACAGCCCAGACTGGTTTTATGATCTGATCACAAGATGGTCCCCATACTGCTCCCAGGCATTGATTCCTCTTTGTAAGTCACATAATGGGCTGATGCTCTGAGCATTACTTTTTCATTTTTCATCATGTCTTTTATCTTTTTGGAGTCAAAATTGAAGTATATATATATACATATATTAACCATGTTATGTGTGCATATTATGTAAAGGTAAAGCTTGTCCTATTAGTTGGTGATATCATATTTCTCTAATTTAGGGTGTCATATGTACATATAGGGCCCATGTCAGAGAGAATGCACAATGGAAAGGATGGATGGAGGTGGGGTGGGAGGATGGTTATGATGGTGTTGAAATATATATATATATATAATATAATATAATATTTAAAACCATAGTTAGATGATGAAGATGAGATTTAAATCTGGATTTTTATAATAAATTATTAAAGTCTATACCAACTAAGCTAATAGATATATTTGTGGATAAAAGTATTTAGTGCATGACGCATGGGATTCAGTAAAATGGATAATAAAATTCCTAATGTAGATCACAGAGTTATTGCTGATGTATATACTATTTAAAACCATAGTTAACACATGATGTGGGATTAATGTTAAAAATATAATGAAACATCAATTTCTTAATGATTTAGTTTTAGATATCACATTAATCAACTTTAATTCTTAAAAATATATTTGGTGAAAGAGAGACATATAATGAATTTGACTTGCAACTTAATAGTCTAAGATTCTGAGTTATCTGTTGTTAGACTAATCTTGACTGACTTATAAATTTCCAACAATAACATCAACCTTTTTTCTTATTTTTTTATTCACTTTGTTTATTTCTTTGACATAGAGATGCACACAGACATTTAATGAGAATAAAACAATAAATTAGGTTGTTGTTGTTTTCATTCATCAATCATGAAATTTAAAGCCCATTGAGAATTCAAAGGCACATGTCTTTAGATTGGCATTATTTAATTGACTTGAATGATAATGACTTTTGTAGAGATTTCTAAGGTCATAATCCACTAAAAATAAATCACACAAGAAAAAGAAAGGAAAATAAGGTCTCATCAAGGCAATCTCCATCATAGTGCCAAATTATTTAAGGCCAAGCCAAGTTTCCAGACCTCTTACATCATCAAACTATTACTTAACTGATCCTTCTAAGCATTTTCTAGTTTCATCAACATAATAAAATGCAATGAATTGCATACAAAATGTTATATACAAAATGTTATACACACCTCCATCCCATATAGATCTATGAATTATATACAAGCAAAAAGAGAAAAACTAAAAAGTCTTGGAGGGCATGTGAGAGAGGACATAATTTTTCTGGGAGGAGAAGACATTCAACAAAGCTGTGTAGAAACTGCAAGGCATCTGAAACTTGCAGTAATTGAGCAGCCAAAAAGAAAAACCCAGCAAACATTAAACACTGCAAAGCTGAATAGATACTATTTGCTATCTTGGAAATGTCCACACTGCTAAACCATTGGCTTCTTCCCATCACAAACAAGGCAAGCCAGCAGTGCAACTTAGACAATGGATGGCCCAGTGCTGAGGAAGGAGATCATCACCTCCCCATATAACACTATTTGCTCCCAATCTCATGGTTTCACATCTCTTTCAATAGTCTCTCAAAGACATCATCATCTTTAAGAGGATGCAGGTGTTCTAATTTTTCCTTTTGTTTTCCTCTCAGAAAACTTGCTTCAGCTGCATCATTTCCTTTGAGAAATCTTCTGAGGAATCCTTTCTTTAGGATGCATTATCTCAAATGTTGTCAAGTATCATGACACCGATTATTCTCATCTACCTACCAAAACTCAGAATCATCTAATCCTGGACCCAGTACTCCTCTCACAAAATGAAGCCTCATCCCTGCATTAATTATATGGGCACCTTCATGACCACACACAGAGGAGAAATCATGACCCATCGTTAAAAATGGTTCTTGGTTGCAGAAAGCACGCAGGGAGTATTTGGATGCAAGAACCGATGGGCTAATTTATCTGCGGCGATCAGCCCCAGCATTCCTCCCCTCCCCACTTTCGAGAAAGGCTCCAATATGTTGTCGATGCAGATTGCAGTACTGCCCCTTCTTTTGCTCACCGACAAGACACCGTACGGAGCTATCAGGCATCGCTCATGCGCTGCTCCTCGTCTCTCTTTCCCTCTCCGCGAGATTCCCACTGCCCGTGGTCTAAAGCATAAACACAAACAGGTGGTGAGCGTCACGTGACGGTCATGCGCATCTTTTGCAGCAAGAGGAATGTGATTACTCGGTCACTCCCAACAATCGAGTTGGGATCATAGAGCTGACACGAGAGAAGCATATGCACTTACAAGTACACAACGCAGGCAGCAGGTTCTTCCCAAGTTCGGGGGAGAATTAGTGATAACAACGTCGGTTTGTCTTCTGTGGAAGAAGGTCTAATACGAATGCTTTCATGGTGCCTCTCTGCAAACAGATGCGAGAAGAAGGACGACACAGTTTCCTCCCCAAAGAGGCATATAGCCATTAAGTATGTTTCTGAGGACACTCATGAAATGTCAACCTAAAGCTTCATCAGCTTGGTGTGTAGCTCCTCCCTAACTTAACGCACACTCCATCCATCCGAGCATCCCACATGTACATGAAGAGCCTGTGTGAAGCTCCCAATGGAAACCGACGGAACTACTAATATTGGTGGACCGAAAAGGAAGCAACCTATTCTTTCTTTTTACGTTGGTTTCTATATATGATAGATATTATTATTATATACGTTATCTTTTTTTACGTGGATAATGGAAATTTTAATTAACATATATGGTGAATCGAAGGGAAAGTGAGGCAAAGCGAACGCAGGCAAAACAGCCGAGCGTCTCATCCAAACTCCACACCATATTATAACACGCCCGCAAAGCCACGTCTCCGCACCACCTTCACCAAAATGGCATCTCCGCCACCACCTCTGAGGCCTACGCCTCCGCCTTCGCCTTCACTGAGGCCCCTCAAACACTTGCCTCCGACACTCCCTCGCGGCTCTACCACCACCACCACCTCGTCGTCCTCCTCCTCCTCCTCCTCAGTATCCCTCAGTCCCAGCCTCCTCATCATCTCCGCCATCATCGCCTTCGTCTTCGTCGCGTCCGCCTCTATCCACCTACTCCTCCGCTTTCTCTCCTCCCGCCGCCGGTCCTCCTCCGTCTCCGCCGCGCCACCGGCGCCGCCGCTCCTCCAGCTCCGCCGCCCCGAATCCTCTTTTTCCTCGTCCTCAGCTGCTGCGACCGCAGCCGCCTCCAACTCCGGCCTCTCCGACCAGGACAAGAAGGCGCTCATCGACGCCCTCCCGTTGTTCTCCCTCGCCTCTTCCCTCGCTGCCGTCCCCAAGTCGTCGTTGGACTGCGCCGTCTGCCTCTACCCCTTCCGCCCGCACGACGAGCTCCGCCTCCTCCCCGCCTGCCGCCATGCCTTTCACTCCCGATGCGTGGACCCCTGGCTCCGCTCGACTCCTTCTTGCCCTCTCTGCCGTGCCTCCATCGCCCTACGAGCGGCACCGTTACCTTCGCCGCCGACAGCGGCACCTCCGACGGTCGCCTCTCACGGGGACCCCTCCCGGTCCGGCAGCTTTCGGGTGGAGATCGGCAGCGTCAGCCGGAGAAGTACGTCACCGGAGGCGGAAACGGTCGTGAACGCTCTGCCTCATCTGAGGACGTACTCCTTGGGGTCATCGTTCGAGTACGTGATCGACGAGGAGGTGGAGGCGGTGGTGGCGCGGATCCGGAGGACGACGGAGAAGGAGGAGAAACGAGACGCGGTGGCCGAACCAGCCTCCGTAATCGTAGCTGGGCCTGCGCCGTCGGTGGCGGAGGTGGCGGGTGGTGGAGGGAGGGGATGGCTACGGGAGTACGTGGACCGGCTCGCCTCGTCGGCGTCGTCCTCCTTCTCATCGTTCCGGTTCTCCGGCAGGTGGAGCCACGACGGCGGCGGCGGGCCAGCGCGGTACTCGTACGACTTGGAGGGGAGCGCGCGGCGGGAGGCGGAGGACGGCGGTTACTACGGCTTCTACAGGTGGCTGATAGGGGCATAACCGTCACAGCACGCACTTCCCCTCTCCGTTAAGCCGTCACGGAAGCTTCTTTCGGACAATTCCCGGTGACCAAAATCGCCACATCATTCCTCAGGAACTACGAAGCCGCCCCCGTTGGCCTGCGCGAAATCGGACGGCCCAGAAGCCCGCAATTGCAAAGAAGCTTCATGCGATCGCAGCGGTGGTCCCCAGCAGTTAGGTGGGTGGGGGGGGGGGGGTACCCCTTCTTGGTTGTAGCTTTGTACTCTTTTGTCTTGTTTTGCGATGGGATAATGTACGAGTGGAGTTAATGGGCTTCGGATCCGAGGGGAGGAATCGGATCACATCAATTGAACCCGTTATGATTCCCCTCCTCTTATAATTTTAATTAACATAAATGGTGAATCATATCATTCCACCATGACAGGATGTGCACATGTAAGCTACGGATGGCTGAGCTAATCGCAGACCACAAACCTGGGGGATTTGAGACCGAGCGCTTCACGCCACTGCACAGTCTACTACACCAAATCTACCGTGACATCAGTGTTGGGGTAACGCCACCGGTTTCGGTGACGACTGCGCGGATCAACAGACGCATGGGCGTGAGATGGCACTGACGAGGACACGAGACGTAACACGGAAACATCGTCACCAGTCCAAGCTGACGCGGATACTGCAATATTTGGGCGCCGACGTGTCTGAGTTGGGCTGACGAAGGCTTTCATCCCACAAATTTAAACCGGCGCGCGATCGAGCAATGATGGTCGAATCAAACCGGTCCCGCTCGGACCGCAACTCGACGCCGTTATCGCCTCGTGGACACCGTGGCAGCGGCCATCGTAACGGATCTCGTCTCACGTGACGCTCACGTTGCTATCGTTTTTATACCGGCAAGAAAGGGGCTTCCTAAACCCCATTCTTATCCTCGGCCATGGCTTCCTCCGTTCTCGCCGCCGCCAAGCCTCTCCTCCACCCTTCTCATCCTCGTACTCCTCCTCCATCTCGTGGCGCAGGTGGCCCTTGCCTCCGCTGGAGCCTCTCGGCCTCGCGTAGGAGCGCCGCGCTCAGGGTTCACGCCCTCAAATGTGAACCGTCCAAGGTCTGTTGTGATCCCTCTACGCAGTTTCTAATTGCTTTGTTGATATTTGCGTTCTCATGTCTTCCTTCTTTGTTCTCGAGTTCAGATAGCTCCGCAAGCCGATCGGGTGCTCGTTCGTCTCGAGGAGCTCCCCGAGGTTTCCCTCTTTCTCCTCCGGTGTTCATAATTGTCGTTTTTGCTTTCTTTGAAGACTTTCCCAAAGAAATACAGATGTAATGGTCGTTGATTATGCTTCAAGGGCGTTTCTAATGTCCTTTCCAACTACCAATTAGTTCCCTAGTGCAGATTGATAGAACTTTGTAGTTTATAGTTGCTGCATTTTTTTGACCAGGCGATTTGATTGCTGTACCACTTTAGGTTTGATAGGTAGCTCAGAAATGTAGATGGCATTGGTCATAAATTTGGCACACTGAGATCTATGGAGAAAAAGTCATTTAAGTGTGACAGCTATTTTACTTGCTGTAACTTTCTTGCATGATCATTTCGTGCTAAAGTTACAAGAACATGGGATGTAAATAGCATTCTTAATTTGGTCTTCACTGTAACTGACTTGTAGGAGAACGGAGCCTTCTTATTGCAGTAGCCTTGAAATTTTTCATTTGATTCCATAAACAATCTTAAACCTATTTGTAGCATGTGGTCGTTGATGAAAATTCAGAAATGTATAAATATACTTTTTTGTTTTTGTTATGCCTTGGGATGGTTATCAAAATAAGCTAGGAATGTGATGATTTGGCTTGGATAGCACTGAAATTTAATTTCCAAAACCCTGGTTTGGATTTATAACACTGGTGTTCTAAGATCAATATAACTTTTAGTCTCTTCCCAACTGAATTAAGTTGAGTGTATCCAATATAATGCAGTTAGCTGCTACGTCTTCCAGCTTGCACCAGCCAATTATTGCTGCTACGGCCCTACTTATAACAACCAGTTAGAGAGTGAGAAGGGAGATATCATTGTAATTCCATGCCGTCCAAGCTGAAGAGAGAGAAAAGTTAACCAAAAGCCACTGTACATAGATATCTGACATTGTTCACAGTTACTGTGATAGTATTGTTAATAGTTTTGATATATTTTGATAGAAAGAAAGCTCAGAAAAGATAACCTGGCTTTTATAAGCATGCCGTAAATCATAAAGCTAGTAATCAGATCCCGATCTAATCAACACCTTATTCATTACAACAACTACATCAAAGCCGTAAGTCCCAACTATTTGGGGTCGGTTGTATGAATCTTTTGCCGCTAGGATCTAATCAGCACCATATCCACTATGTTCCATATTCTAATTGGAAAGGTGCTTTGGCGCAGAAATCTGCTGGTGGAGTACTACTTCCAAAGTCAGCTGTTAAGTTTGAACGGTATCTAATGGGTGAGGTACGGAACAAAAGATTGATATAGTTGTATTATTTGTTTGAGCTATCAGCTTTTGATTATTGCAATATGTTCTGACAGATTCTGTCTGTTGGCTCTGATGTCACTGAGGTGGAAGCTGGGAAGAAGGTAGATTATTTTTTTCATTATTTTATGGTCGTTTCAATAAAAAAATTGGATAATGCTTGTATTCCTTTGATCATAGCACCTTCTTCTTACTAAAAGTGGTGGTATCCTGTATCACTAAGTTCAGTTAAGTTTACATACACGTCATTATAACTATAATGTTCCTGTGGGTAAGGATCATTTAGCATGGCAACATGCTTTAGTTGTCAATTATTATATGACGAACATGTAACTTCACAAATGTCCAACAAGAAGGGAGAATAGCGTACATGAATAAGATAACATAACCTGTGATACTTTGCATTTAGATTATTACAGTGTTATCATATTCATTTTTTTTTTGAAGTATATTGACTGTGGCCAAAGTTGTCAAAACCAGACTGGACTGCTCTTTTGAAGTCGGACTAGCAATTGGTCTAAAGTCCAGTCTATTTTATCACAAAAGGCCTAGGAGCAAACCAGTCAAACTTTGTCAAATTTGGTAGAACTGACAGAACCAGAAATAACGTTTTTATTCCATTTTACCCCATTATTTTACTGTATTTTTTATTTTTATATATTTTAAAAAATAGAAACGGTTCATAGTGTCATGCTATTGTATTGGACTGATCAACTGTTTGAATTGGTCTTGGAAAACTGGCTCTCTCCAGGTTGACTGGTTCAGTTTTCAAGACATTGACATAGCTGATGTTTCTCCCTTTTTCTTTTGCAGGTTCTTTTCTCAGACATTAATGCATATGAGGTATGTGGTCCTATAACACAGATTTAATCATTCACTAGTTGCATGATATACATCATTCTTATTCCTCAATATACATGCATAGCAAACATGGATATATTGTTATATATAAATCAAGCATTAACAGGCATATAAGCGCTTCGTGTAAATCAATCAAGAATTTTGATATTGTGTCTTGTTGTCCTCTCATATCCAAATTAAGCAATCTCTTTAGAGGGGAGGGTGTTATTCTAGGTACTGTTTGTTGAGATTTGGCATCCATTGACATCATTTACTGGAATGAAAAGCTAATGCTGGAGCAATTTCTTTTGAAGTATCACTTCTTTGGACTATGAAATAGATGTCTGGTTTAATTATTCAGTCCGAAAGAACATCTCCATCTATGGAGAACTTTTTATCATCTGACTGACCTTAACTAAAAAAATAGTAATTACTGGACACACATATCATTTGATAGTTTGCATGATACTTCCAAGGGAAGTGTTATTTGCAGATTTCTTTAGATCAGTGGACAAAAGTCCTTTTTTCTTTGTTAAATAGCTCCTTTAATTTTTGGTATTTATATACTTGGGCTGGTACCTGTTTTTTTTTTTCTTTATCATACAAATAATTTACTTCTTGTAATTCCTCCTTAAATGTTTGTGCAGGTGGACTTAGGGACGGACACGAAGCACTGTTTTTGCAAAGCCAGTGATCTGCTAGCTGTTGTCGAGTAGATATCTAGTAAATTTATCATGTTTGGTCTTCTTAGGTCTGCATGGTGATCTAAGTAAGTCATCTTATCGTGGTTATGATCCTGAATTTTCATTTGCAATGTATTGTTGATTGATACCCATAATGCAGGTTGAACCGTTTCGTTCCTCAAAATTTATGTTTGCATGAGATTCTACCTGGAATCCAGGTCAATTAGGGGATGTTCGATGAAAGATTACTTGCACATGAATATATTTTCTGATAACGTTCGCAATCACAAGTAAATGATGGACATAACATTTGCAGGTGCAGTCTTTTTCTTCTTGGGTAACCTATAGCCTTACGAGTATAATGTTTGGAGAAGAACAGGTGTATGTCTGTCCACTTCTTTGGGTAACCTAGCTTACAAGTGACATACTGTTGCAGCATTGTCATGTTAGATTGCATGTATATGATTTAGGGAAAAACCCTCCATTTGTTTTTTTTTTGGGTCCAGCGTTCCCTACTGGAAATGCTAGTTAGATTAGTATTAATACATTCTATGGATCGGTTCATAGGATAAATTGATCCAATCTCTATACATAATATTTATGATGTTTTTAAATGTATTTATTAAAAATACTATGATTGAGGTGGGGTAAGTTGACTAATTCATATATAAACTAATTCATATATATATATAGGATTTAATATAAACTAATTGGATAAGTGGATGCTAGCTATTTTACCTTGCTCTGTTGTTACGAAGAATTTAAGGGATGAATTTTAGGAGGAGAATGGTGGTCATGTTGGATCTATTATTACGAAGAATTGAAGGGATGAATTTTAGGAGGAGAATGGGAGGTCATGTTGGAAGGTAATGTTCGAGTTAAGGGTTGGTCATTAAGTTAAGTTTTTTATTTATTTATTTGTGAAACAAGCTCATGCTGAACCTATTGTTAGGGATGTTAACTGGATGACAGAGTGCTTCCTTCGTTCCCGTCCTCAGTCTCTATCCTTCGTCCTTTATTCTCATCCTAGTTAGATAAAGCGATGATTACGGGGACGGAGGCGGCACAGAAAATCTCCATTAGGGAGAACCAATAGATTCCCCATATATTCTCTTATATTAAAAGATAGGATTAGTGAATGTTATAAGTATAAAAATCGTGTAAACAAAATTAATGTCAAAAGTTGAAATTAAATAATAATAAATTAAATATATAATGTGTGTATTTACATAAATATTAATAGGATAGTAAAAATAAATAATTTTAACTATGTAAAAAAATATCAATTATAATATCCATTCAAACATATAATATTTTTTTAATATTTGC